TTACAGATGTGGCTAGCTCATGTCCTGAGTCTTGTCTTCTTGGGTCATCTCAATGGTCTGATAGCTTAGTTATTTCTTGAACATCTTTACCCAGCCCTTTTCTTGGCTAGTACCCTTTTTGTGCCACTAAGCTTCCATTGCTCAAGACTGTTGAGATTCATGGTGATGAATCAACTCACCTATGGAGGTTAAAGGTTTTGATGATAAAAAAATGTGTGGAACAAAGCTGACCAAGGACAAGGACATCAACAACTTAGAAGTCAAAAACAAAGTCAAAGAAAAGTGTTATGTAATAGGAGTAGCTTATAAATTGTTTTGTTGAGCTAATTTTGTGTGTGTATGCTTTGTGCTTTGGCTAATCTTTATCTAATCTGATTAGGGAGTACGTGTATGATGATGAGTTTAAAAGGATAAGTTATTTTGAGACTTAAAATAAAGTTTTGAAAACTAACTCAAAATAATCGATTATCATTAAATATAATCGATTATTCCATCAACATGCAAAAACGATGCCTTGCTACAATAATCGATTATTTGTGAAATAATCGATTATCCCATAAATGACTCTCTGGAATAATCGATTATCCAGCAAAATAATCGATTAAATTGTTCTTGGTTGATTTCCAAAAAACCTGAAGAACAAAATAATCGATTATTCTTTAAAATAATCAATTATATGGTTCTGAAAAACTTATAAATAGTTTGACCATTTTGAAACTTCAGAACAGAGTTAGAATTGAGAATCAAAGTTAGAAAAATGTGTTTGTGAAGTCTTTGTGACATTCTTGGGAGTTTTCTTTGTGAAACCAAGAAGGAAAAATGTTTTGAAAAGTTTTGAGAAAAGATCATCATCATCACATTCTTGAAAGGGAAGAGATTAAGATTTGCTTCTGAATTCCAGGTGAATTCGTTCCTTAATTCTTTGTGAATACTTGTAAATCTTGAGTAGGTTTCTCAAGTGGTAAGCAATTCTTGTAGTTTACAACAAATATGGTTTTTATTGACTTAAATAAAGTGATGAAAGTAAAACTTGTCACTAATAATATATTTTTTGTGACTCAATTTTAATAAAATTCGCCACTAGTATTATTTATAATAGTGACAAAAAATAAGTCATCACTACAATTCTAGTAATAGTGACCAAAATATGTTTGTCACAAAAAAATTTGACACTAATGTTTACAAAGTTTACTTTTTATTTTAAAATCGTCACTAATAAATTTTACTAAACATTCAAAATTTATTAGTGACAAAAAAAATGACCTTATCATAAGTATTGTAGACACCCAATTTCGTCCGGGGGGCATACAAACAAAGAAATGGATATCTATCATCGAAGAAATGGAGCTCCCAAGCATGGAAATAAAAAGATAGGACATCAGAGGGCCCAAAAGCCCAAATCAGCTATTTTTACTGGCCCGGAACGGGCAGTTCCAAAATCAGAACAGGCCGTTCCAAAGTCTGGAACGGGCCGTTCTTGAATTGGAACGGGCCGTTCCGAGACTCCTAAAAGGCCTGAAATTGTAGGTTGGAACGGGCCGTTCTAAACCAGAACGGGTCGTTCCAAACCAATCAAAGGGCCTAAGGTATTTGGTCTGGAACGAGCCGTTCCAATATTAAAACGGGCCGTTCCAGACCAAATACCTTAGGCCCTTTGATTGGTTTGGAACGACCCATTCTGGTTTAGAACGGCCCTCTCTTTGTATTTCTTGAGTATTGTGAGGCATTTGTGTAGTTTGAAAGGTTGCCAAAAAGCACCTAAAATCTTCCTGTTTTGAAGATTAATAGAGCTCATTCAAGAGGTATTTCAGTCAATTTCTTTCTCCTTTTTTTATTTATTTCTTCTCTAATAAATATTGTTATAATAAAAATAATCATGTAGACATTTTAGGATTAATTGTATAATTTAAATTTCAAGCATGTAAGTAATTATTAATAAAAGGGGATTTAATATTTATATTATTATCATTTATAATGCTAACTTCATCATAGGGTACCAATTAAGGGCGTTGTAAGGGTGCTTAATACCTTCCCTACATGTAACCGACCCCCGAACCACGTAACCGACCCCCGAACCCAATTCTGGTTATCAAGGCCATTATTGGATTTTTTAAAAAATCTTTTCTTTTTCCATTATTTTGAGTAAAACATTGGTGGCGACTCCATGAACTCATTTTTCAAAACTATTAATTAAGGATTAGTCTGGTGTTCGGGCATTCCTTAATTGATGAGATTTTTAAAAGGATGTCTAAATCATTAGTCGCGAGATTGGAAAAATCCGGGTTGCGACAGATGGCGACTTCGCTGGGGAAGTTTTAAGAGGGTCAGGCCCAAAGAAATGATGAAATTAGCATTGTAAAAAAAAAAATTAAATATTTTTCCCCTTTATTTTGTTTGTTTTATTCGTTTGGCTTTCATATCTGTTTGCCTGTTTAAATTCAGCACTTGTTTGGAATATAAGTTGTACACAAACCTTTGCACACAACAGTTCCCCCTACACCCGGGGGCATGAGAGTAAGAAACATAGGGAGTGGTTGACGTACGACCGGCCCAAGTTTGGCCTTAGAGCCTGCGAGACTTGTCGGAAATCACACTCAAGGTGATAACCGGTTACTCTAGCCCAAAATACTGCGACATACCTTAGAGTTTACCAGGTGACAGCGACAGAGATACTGGGTCCCTATAATGGGGGCACCTTGGGGGCCTTAAGATCAGTGAGATTAGAACTGTCCTATACAATGCACTTTTCTTACAAGGACCTCAGACTAAGGATTTAAATGTGACTGTTCGTGGGTGTACATTTGTATGAGCATATGTTTGTTGCATTTGTCATACTATTTTCCAAATGAATGAGATTAAGGGGGCAATAACTCAAAAAAAAAAAATGAAACAAAAAGAATGCCTTTCCATGTGTTCTATTTTTTGCTTTCACATCATAAGTCTTAGAAAGAAACATGATAAAAGTAAGTAGACAAACCCCCCATCATTTCTTTTAGGATAATAAACCATTTTTTTTAGATATGGAAGCTATAGATAGTAGCAAGCATGGACCATTGAGGAAGGTGAACATTCCAAATTCTGCAATGCCTCGAGTAAATGAGATTTGTGCCTCAATACCAAAAAAGGTCAAAACAGAATTTGAAAAACGTTACGGCAAAATCCTTGACTTGTTGAGAATACCTGTGGACCCTGCTATCATGAGAGCCTTGATACACTTTTGGGAGCCAGAGTTCCGTTGCTTCCGATTCCCACACTTTGATATAGTGCCCACTATAGAGGAGTATGACCTCATGATTAAGTGGCCCAAGTCGGGAGGAGTTTTCTTTGTTCAAGAAGGACGCATATCCTCCAAGGTGGCTGAATTGATTGGCTTACCCTCTCACTTGTCCGTTCTAGAAGGCAATGGAGTAGTTAAAGGATGGAAGCTTTCCATCTTGGAAGAGCATCTTTCCCTTCTGGGTCACCAAAAGAATTGGCTAACCTTCAACAAGACCCTAGCCTTAATCTTGTTTGGGATAATCCTTTTCCCTTTTCATGAGAGGGTGGTAGATCATGCCGCAATCGATGCCTTCCTTGCTTGGGATGCCCACTCCAACAGCCCTGTACCTGTCATCCTCGCTGACACCTTGCTCGTAATCGACCTCTACCGTCAAAAATCAGGAAAGAAAATGAGATGCTGCAATCCACTCCTTTACGTGTGGGCGTACACTCATTTCTTTGCCAAGAATCATATGGGGAAATTTCCTGACCCATTAAGAAGTTTCCCTAGAATTCCATCATCAAGGAAGTACGCCATGGCATGGAAAGCTTAAATGGAGGGATGCACTGAAAACACTTTCACATGGATGTGCCCCTGGTTTAGACCGAGTCCCGTATTGGTACGGTGTGGCCAGTTCTCTAACCTACCTTTGATGGGACTAAGAGGATGCATAGCCTACTCCCCAAAGCTGGTGTCAAGACAACTTGGAAGGACACAGACTCTACCAAACCAAGAAGACTTCGGCGGCATTTTCTTCTTATATACCTCAGGGCAACAATCACATGTTGATACCATACGAGAGGCCTGGAAGAGGCCACTCTATTTTGGAGATAGCGAGCTCGAAAAACCCCAGGTGACCGCCTCAGATGACTACCGAAAATGGAGAAATCAAGGCAAAGCCATGAACATGACGAAGACGGTAGACCAGAACGAACAACATCAAATTGATCCCCTAATCAAAAAGATAGAAGTTCTGGAAGCCCAGATAAGAGCTCTCGAAGAGAAGGATGAGGAATCCAAGATGTACATCGATGGTTTGCAGAGAAAATGTAAGAAAAAGGACATGGAGATTGAGAGTCTAAAGGATGAATGTGCTGATATAACTGTCCAGCCAGTGAAAACTCCAAAAGTTCACTCAGGCAGGCCATTTATGGAATCTTCGTCAAGTGTAGCACAACTCAAGGATAGACTCCAAGAGGAGACGCTAGCAAAAGAGCAAGCCCAGAGAGAACTGTTGAAGGCCCATAATGAAGCTCAATCTTGGTGGGAGATCATGCAAGAACAAGCCGCGACCATCTCTGATTTTCGACAAAAGGAAGAAAAGAGGGTCGAGCTACTCAAGGAAGTCACCCGTCAAAGAGACCAAGCTCTAGAGGCGGTACAGGAGCTGAAAACGATGAATAGATACTATCAGGAGAAGGCCAAAGATGCACGCTCTGTCTGCGATCACATGAGCATCCCAGTCCACGAACAAGCAGAGGCAATGAAGAGGCATGTTTTGGATGCAGAAGATAGCGTACCTATGCGCCAGCCTAGCTTGAGTTTCTTCAGACTCTACAAAAATACTGAAAAGCATTGCATGATGAATGTTCACTAAACAAACAAATCAATGAGAATGATATTTGTTGAATTCCTCGATTGTCTTTGCATCCTAAATTGCATTTCATTTAGAACATACACTTTTCTGGTAAATTTATAAGGAATAAAAAAGGAAATCTAATTTGTACATGTTAACTAGATAATGAAATCGCTTATCATCAAATGCAAACCCGAGGCCTCACATCGGGAAGCGCCGCATGAAAAGTCAACAAATACTCGAGAAAACGAACGGCAAAACGCGCCCAAGCTTACCGTCCGAGTGCCAAGTCCTTTCCCCTACGAAAGCGACAACGCAGTACCATGGGTTTATGACGTGCAAAGCTTGCCGTCGTTAGAATCATCGAATATCATCGGGATTGGAGGAATGACTAGAAGTGGATGCGTTTATACCCCCAAGGACTTAGGAGACAAATCCCCGAAAGGAAAGGACAAAGAGGAAGGAAGGACGGAGTGCGATAAAGAAGATGAATTTCTTCAGTTCATTCGACAAAGCGAATATTGCATCCTTAATCAGCTTAACCATACCCCCGCAAAAATCACTTTGCTTTCGCTGATCATGAGCTCTGAACCACATCAAAAGGCTCTGCTGAAAGTTTTGAATGAGGCCTACGTGGCACACCACATATCCCAAGACAAGTTTGAAGGGATCGTGAGTCACCTCACGGCTAACGATCATTTAACCTTCACCGATGATGAGATACCCAATGGTCGACCGAACCACAATAAACCCTTGCATATATCCGTAAAGTGCAAGGATTTTCTCATCGCCAAAGTCTTGGTAGATAACGGGTCTTCGCTGAATGTATTGCCTAAAGGCACCTTTGACAAGCTAATGGTTGAAGAAGCTCAGATGCAACCAAGCAATATGATCGTTCGAGCTTTCGACGGATCTCGAAGAGAAATAATGGGAGAAGTCGTCCTACCCATTCAAGTAGGGCCCACAGTTTTCAACGTAGAATTCCAAGTAATGGATATTGCGCCCGCTTACAGCTGTCTCCTAGGAAGGCCATGGATACACCAAGCAAGGGCAGTACCCTCCACGCTTCATCAGAAGGTCAAGTTCGTAGTGGATAATAAGATGGTGGTAGTTAAAGAAGAGGAGGATATGATTATCAGCAAACCGTTGACTGTTCCATATGTAGATGCGGCCGAAGAAGCATTGGAAACGGCTTTCCAAGCACTGGAAATCGCTCATGTAGAAAAGAATTCGAACAAGAACCCAGCAGCACGAATCTTATTCAAAAACGGTTATCGATCGGGACAAGGACTTGGAAAGAGCGCTCAAGGGGCGAAAGAATTCCCGAACCACATAAGCAACCCAGGGCGACGAGGCTTGGGGTACGAGCCAACGACAGAACCCAGGAAGGGAGGGACAACCGCCCCTGCTCTATACGAAATCTTTCAGAGCGCAGGTATCCAAGCAAGCTGTGGGACGACTTTGGTGATTAAGTCAACTAGATCCTATTGAGGAATGTCTTCTCTCGTATTCTTGTGTATGAATCACAAACTTGGGGCATGCCCGAGCCCTCAAGATGGACTAAATGGGCACGTGTAAATTGAAGATTCTACTTTAATGCCATGTTTTTATTTCTCTCTTTTCTCTCTTTCACCTACTCTAAGCCTCATTAACTGTAGACCCCTAAAATTGTCCGGGTCGGAAATA